AAATTATTATTTTTTTCATTTTTAATAAATTTTATTGGAAAAAACATAGCTTTGTTAGATTAAACTTCACTTCATTGAAAGTTTAGAAGCCTTCGAAAACTGAAATTTCTTCAGGTTCAGAAAGCTGTCGAATATCGATATTTAAGTGATTACCCACAAAATGTCAATGACTCTGAGCGTCGAGATGCTGTTATCAGTATTATCTCAGGTAGTGAATAGAATTCGAGCATGTTAAAATTCATCTTTTTATAATAAATTTCATAGAATCCAATTAATTTATGATAAAAGCTAAGAATCTGATAAGGGGTTTATTCAGTTTTGTATTAAATATATCTCACATGAATTTAACAAATTTGCTATTTATATTATTCGATTATTTTAATTATTGTAGATCAGCATTTTGTTGCGCCTGCTGTACGTGAGGCATTACACTATGCCTATAAAAACCTTACAGTTTATGCCTATATATTTGAATATGAAAGTGCACACTTACTGAAATTTATAAGAAAGAAAGGAATTAAAAAAGGTAATGATTTAATTATTAACATAATTATTACTTTGAATCCAGAGTTTCAGAAGAATTGAACTGATCTTTGGGTCTAAATCAGTGATTAATTTGAAATTGGATCCAATTCCATTGTTAAGTAAATTTTACGAAGAATTTTAACATTTCAAAACTTGATACAGCTTAAAAATTATAGGAGCATCACATGGCAACGATTGTTCACTTATTTTTGATAATCAAAACCTTTCTAATTCAATGCTTCAAAAAGTTGCATGGAATGATAATGATCGAAAAGTTTTAGATCATCTTATCACGCAAATGACAAATTTTATTCACAAAAGGTTAAATGCTATTACTTATTTTTGTCAGTTTCACATGAAATAAGGCTTAAATTTTAAAAGTAATTTAGTAATTTCTTAATTAATTAAATTAAAAAAGTATTGAAAAGTCATTTTATTTCCTCTAAATTTATATAATCATTTTATTTCCTCTAAATTTATGTAACGAAAAACACATGGAAATAAAAATCTGCATAATATAGAATTAAAAACCTGTGTAGTGGAATAATGGAATTAAAGATCTGTATAGTTTTTGGAAAAAAATAGTTTAATAAGTAAAAATGATTTAAGTTTTTTTTGCAATTGTAATTTTTTTGTAGTACAGAAATATAAATTAAGGTTGCAAACAGCAATATTTTCATACAGACGAAAGAAAATTACAGTAATTAATTAAATTTTCAGAAATTTGAGTAAAATCGGCTTTGTACGGTTTAGTCCACTTCATCGTGCCGCTACAAAGATTAACACCGCTGGTAACATAGTCAGTCCTGTAGATTTCTACAGCAATGTTACCGTATTCTGGTACGAAACGATTCCAATTGTTGAGCAATTATCAGTAGAACCGCATTATCGCTTACTTCTTAAATCTTGTACAATGTGTCAGTATCCTTATAAAGCACCATTCTACATCATCTTAATTGCATTGGTGAATTTATTTTTGAGATATTGTAGTCAATTTTTAAATTTATTTATCAATACCAAGAGATTATCAATATCAGAAGTATACGTAGATAACAAAAAATCTTGATTCTTAGATTTATGAAAGTAAATGTTGGAAAAACTAACACCAGTTTCATTTCAGCCGTTTTTTGCTTCACAAAATCTATAAACTGAACTGAAAATAAGACTAATCTTTTAGCATGTTAAATTTATTCAGACAGATTTGACTGAACAGATAACAGTTCTGGCAATTCAATCAGAAATGTTATAATTCTTACAGATTCTCATCACGATCGGTTTGCTCATTGCTTGTATTCATCAACAAAAACGAGTAAAGTACAAGCCAACAACTTATGCAATTATGCACGAGTTGAGAACTGTGAAAAATGATGAAAAGCTGGTAATGTCTTGAAGTCAATCAGACTTTGCAAGCGTAAAATCATACGATCTCAACATCATTCTTCTTCAGCTCTACTCTTTCTCTTATTTCTAATACCAAATTGCTTTCAAAAATGCCTCCTTGGAGTAAAGGAATGTGCTTTCAAACGTTATCCACATATCATCAATGATTATGAGAGTTATACTATGAACAGAATGTATAGAAAACTAACCACTCCTTATTTAGTGGCTAGAGTGATTATCTTTAAAAAGAAGTCTATTAATTTGCTTAGGGTCGTCAGCATTTAGTGATGAATATTACTAAAAATAAATGCTGACAATGAAGTAGACATAAATTCATGTTGAGATTGAATATGATTCAGATCAGTTTATTGTGCATTCTAAATATTAATAGAAATTGATTATTACTTATTTTTCTCAAAGGAATGTTTCAATTGGCAACTCGCTTATTTTTTTATGTCTCAGTGTGATTCTTCGTTCTATTCCAACTATATTCTCTGGATAGGTTGAAGGAATATAAGCTTATGGCATGCGGACATAAAGTCCATGTACAAGAAAACTTGAAGTGACTGCTCACTGACATAATATATTCCAACAACAAATTACGAGAAATAATTTACTTAATTTAATCTTGATTCAACACGAATATAATGATTCATAATTTTTTCTCAACACCACAACTACCACTTATATGAGAATATGATCACTACTATGAGTTTCCTTCATTGATTCCTGAAATATACAGATAACACCAGAATATTACAATCAAACACAACACAATCATAAAAATACTTTTTGGCTATTAAAAGAACAACAGCTTATGCACCTTCATGCCTCAATAACCAACGGTTTGCCAGTCATTTCAGAAGGTATCGGCAGACCCATCACTTTAAGCACAGTTGGGGCAACATCGCAAAGACCCATATCTCGATCCGGCAACTCATTGATAAATTTGAATTTATCCGACGAGCAAGTAAATGGTACTGCAAGCAAATTATATTGTGGAAATTAGTAAATTTTTTATAAAAACACAATAAAATAATCGACATAGGCAATTTTTCTGAATTCGAAATAGATCTAGATTACATGAGGAAACCGCTAATGACGGAAAGTCCTGGAATGATATTTGAAACCCGCTCTACACTGTTCCAAGTATTACAAAATTTTTTTTCATTTGACAAATTATTTTGTATAGTACAGACATGTATACCAGCTTATAATGCTGCAAATTACGTGTATATTCAGCAGTTTTTATTAAAGTTACAAACTTTTTCCGCATTTCGAGTTTTGAGACAGAATTGGGCCAATAAATCAAAAGTGAATATTTTTTTAGAAAAGATGACAGATAATCAAGTACCTAAATTGCATGTATGCGCAGTATGCTTACTACCATCGGCTGCCATCATTTTTTCAGCGTTACCATGATCAGCAGTAACCATTAGAATATAATTATTTCTTTTACAAGCTTCATATACCCGTCCGATTGCACTGTCTAAAAGAGTTTTGGAAAAATAAAAATAACAAATATACTATCTTCAGTGATTATAGATTACCAGTTTTGAACAAGTAATCTATAATCACTGAACAATTAAAGAGATAAACCGCTAATTGACAAACAAACTGAAGTTACTAGGGAATCTATTCATACTAAGAAGTTTACAAATCAGATTTTGTAGTATGTTGATAAGATTTTAGTTTCCTGAACTGATGAAAAAGTGTTGGTTGTCGTAAATTGATCATTATCTCTGATATACGAAACAAAAAATGAAAAATTAACCAGTTGCTTCAACAGCTTTTACAGCTGCCTCGTAAACACCAGTATGTCCGACCATGTCAGGTGGTGCAAAATTACACATAATAAACGGGTGCTTTTTTGCATCAAGCTGTTCCACCATCTGAATGAAATGATTACAATACCATTGCTGTATCGAACGATTTAAAGAACTCAGAATTTGAATGAAGGAGAACGTCAATCAATCAAATACATTGGAGTACAAGTAGCTGAAGCACTGAACTGCATATTTTTATGTTTTTGGTGAAATTTTTTTGTTTAAAAAAAGTTTGTAAAATTATGGATTACAGAAACTATAGTTTTACTAAAAAATATAAAATAAATGCAGGAAATAGAATTATAATGTCAGTTACCAATTAAATAATAATTTTAACGATAACTATAATGAATAAGCCAACAATAGATCACCTTGTCAGCTACTCCTGCTGAACTCATTGGAGGTAGAAGATCATACGTAGCGACCTTCGGTGATGGTACTAAACAGCGCTCTTCATTTTCAAACTGTTTTTCAACACCACCGTTGAAAAAGAATGTGACATGAGCATACTTTTCAGTTTCTGAAAACCTTTATATGATTATACTATATCAAAGAAATGTGATCTTAATTCACGCTGTTGAGCAAATAGATGAATACACTGCGTACATTCAAGGTTAAAAATGATGATGAAAAATATGCAAATCATAACTGCAAACATTAGTTTTTTGTATATGATTAGAATCATTGACCAAATATTTAAATCTAGTACGTCCTTCAAACTGTGATCAGAAACTTGCAAGTTATATTAAAGTGGACTTATTCCAACACAAAGCCATCGAACGTCACATGAAACGATTACTTAGCAGAACTAACCCGCACAATGAAACTGCGTCACTCCTTGAACAGCCAACCATTCTGCCAAAACATTTTTGTGACTTTCAGGAGGAAAAAGAGAATCAAATGTAAATTCTGCTTTGTACTGAGTCATTCCAAAAAGTCGCTAAAATATGATGAATAAAAAAATTTGGGAAAAAATACTGCAAATTCGCATTACGAAATCTAATGAGATTCTTCGTAGCACGAGTTTTGATTAATACTCAATATATGTAGATATAATAAATTAATGTAGATAAAATGTAAAAAATTCACCCATTAATAAAAGAACTTCTTAATATTTGGAATTAAACTAAATTTTTCTATTGTTTATCATCATAACTGGTCCTCAATTTCGCAATCCTAATTACTAAATTCAATGACATGTGAATTACAATCGTTAAAATAATATAGTAATAATGAGAATCAATGAAAAACATACCATATCTTTCGGATGTTTGACATCTGAATTGAGATCCTTATATCTTTCCATACCCATGCATTCAGTGATTTCTCGCATACGATCAGCTCGGTAATCAAAGAATATCAGTGTATCACCATCTGAAACTTTATTGTTTATCGCGTAATTAGTCCTCTATTTCAAGCAAACTACAACCGTCTTTAAAATCCATGACAAGCATAAATATGCTTTTTTACTTTTCTAGTTCACTTTACAAATACAAACAATAAATTTTCTGGCCCCATGAAATGACGGTTCAATTATGTACCTTTAATTCCTGCAATGCAGTTTAACATTTACTTTTGTTAAAAGTGAAATTTGACTGACTACGTACATAATTATGTAAATGCTCAAAAAATATTTCCTCTGCATTCAATAACATATAAAAACAATGAATATATTAGTGATGTCAATCGTGCTCAGAAATTATTAAAATTAAATCTTAACGTAATCTACCTTTAGTTCGCCCTTCATCCGAAAGAATAATTGGTTTCAAGAATTCGTCTGTTTCATCCTTCGCATAACGTGCTTTGATGACATCAGCAGCTTTGTCGACCGTCGTTTTCTCACCGACTCCAGCAATCAAAGCATCATAACACACCTAAATTATGTTTTTAAAAATCACATCACAGACAAAAGCAGACGTAATATTTTACATCACAGATAGTTTGTCAATTCCTAAAAATATGAGAGTCAATGTTTAGAATACAATAAATTTGAGGTGATATGCAAGAAAATAACCACATTACAAAGCTACCACAAATAAAACAGAATAATAACTTTGAAAAATTATTGCAAAGGAATTAACACAAATTTATATTAAGAACTGCCCATATATCACTCAGTGAGATCAATTTTCTCACTTAAACTGTAGTTCAAATGAATTGCATTTTCAAAAAAACAAAGTTTACTCATGACAAATCACGTACTCGGATTCGCTCCCACCGCTTATCTCTATCCATCGCATAGTAACGTCCAATAATTGTTGCTATTTCGCCGTAATTTTCTTTTTTAGTGAAATCAATAAGTTGTTCAAGAAACCCAACTGAAAGGCACAAGGTTTTGTAAATTTCGAACAAAACTATCTCATACAATTAGAAATCTGAAAGAATTTTACCTCCACTTGTAGGACTCGTATCACGACCATCACCAAAGAAATGAATAAAAAGCTTGGGAACTTTGAGTTCCTTTAAAGCTGTTATTAACGCAAACAAGTGGTTGATATGCGAATGAACACCACCATCACTAACCTTAAATGTTTATTTTTTTTAGAATTTTTAACCATCATAAGAAAATAGCAATGAAGGAGATAGGATGAACGCGTTAAGATATTTTAACAGAAATTTTGAAAATGTTTAAACCTGTTGTAATTAACAACGTCATAAATTACGGCGAATTCTAAAAAGAAACAAAAAACAAAATTCATGTTACCAAAACTGCTAAAATAATCACAATCACAATATGAAACAAAAAATCCCCAAGTACATTAAAAATGGCTTTTACCAGAAAACAGAAAGCACATTAGTGTGCTACTTTGTATACACCTTTGTTACAGAATTTACATCTAAAAAATCTACACGTTTAAATACATGGTGGCATTATTTTATTAGTGAAAAATCCTAGCAGTTTTGGTAACATGACCAAAATTGATACATGAGTTATTTTCTTCTAGGTCATGGTGAAAAGTAAATTGAATGATAGCTCTTACCAAACCACAAAGATGAATACGACCATTTCCTTTAATAGCATGATTAGCTGCTTCTTTCAAATGTGCATTATGAATCAATGTTTTATTTTTAATGGCCAAATTGATACGCACAATATCCTACAATATGAACAATTTTTGATCATTAACGTGCTAATGTTATAGCAACGACTAGAATACGACTAAAAATTAACACCATAGTCAAAGTTTCGATGTGAATAAAACTGCATAAAACACGAAAATATGGAACATCTGAGCAGCACCATAAAAAGTACAAGATATACTCAGTCTTACCTGATATACAACACGTCCAGCACCAATATTTAAATGGCCAACTTCTGAATTACCCATAAGCCCCTCTGGCAGACCAACATGCAACCCATACGCTTGAATTGGATGAGAGTTCAAGCCAATAAGTTCATCCATTACCGGCGTCTTAGCGTTAAGTATAGCATTTCCTTCAAGTGAAAACAAAAAACTCTAATTATTTTACGATACTTATCTTTATTAGTGAAATGAAAATATTTTAATCTTTTCTGAGTATGTAAACCATAAATAGCTGCGATTTATATATTAGCATAATGTATATAAATATATTGAAATTTTAACTACTACGAAAACATGAAAAGCAAATAAACTGCATGAACTATTGATCTTAAAATAAATTCGACAAAAAATCTACAAAAATAAAAACAACCTTTGCTTTCGGTACTCAATCCCCAACCATCAATAACTACCAAACATACTCGATTCTTTATTTTATCATTATTGGCCATAACTTTATTGTTTAAGTTGTGAGTTAATAAATTCAATTTTCTGAAAGTATGGATGAATTAATCTATAACTTTGTAAAAAACTTATATACGAGATAGATGATTCAGTTAATTCAGATATATTTCAGTTCATAAATATCTTCTAATTGAGCTGATTTCTCGCTACAACAACCTTGCTTATAATCTGTGGTAATTTACTTGAAAAAGGAAAAAAAAAACAACTAGAATTCACAAAACACTCATACCAAAACCACAACAAATCTAAATACGTCTATATATAGAGTCACCTAACACCAAGTTTGTACCTAGTTTTGCATAAATCGTTGCATATAGCAACGATTTATGCAAAATTGGAGTTGAACGGAAAAAATTGCTGGACTCGTAAGTCTCCTAGAAGTTTTTGGGTAGAGTTACTTTTAGGTAGTTTTAGTCTATGAGAATTGGTAATTAATGATATTAAATAACATTATTGGCAACAATGCCCTTGTAATACTGACCAGTTCCACAAAACTTCGAGAAATATCGAAAAATTGTTATCGGAACTGAGTTTGTTAATCTATGCTAGGTGGAAGATATAAAGGCGGAAAAATAACACTTGTTACTATGAAAAATAGTAATTATAACAGTGTGGAGAATCAATTATCTGTCTAAAAAATTGAAGTTTCCAGTTGTTTTTTAAAAATTTAGATAACAAATGAAAAGTTATCGAAGAGAGGAGTAAAGCTTTACGAGAAGTGTGGAATTTCATCTCAGTGTTTTAAGCTAAAACTGATCTGTCACGTTATTTTTTTTTTCGCATTTGTATGTAAACAATAAAAAATTTTCAACTTTTCAGTTCGTTGTGATCTTTTATTTATAAAATAGAAAGATAGTATGAATTGTTATTTTTGCAATAATATCAATAAAAATATAAGCATAAAACTGATTGATCAAAGCTAATCCAATCATTTATATTACGTTTACTTTCATAATTTTTTATTCAAAAGTTGTAACGAAAGTCTGAGTTGAAATAATAATCGATTAGAAGACTTATATTCGGATAAAAATAAAGTAGAATGAATGAAAATATAATACTTTTGATAAAATTTTCACGTTTGTATAAATTTTTAAAACAAATAAATACGAATTAAAAAGAGATCACTGCATGAAGTAGAAGACGCGTATTTTACGTGAGTGTTTACGTATGAGTGTATCACTTATCTATTGACTTATTAATATAGTGACATTTTTTTGTTACAAAATAATCATTCAAATTGTGGTATGAGTAAGAGCTAGTTTATTTGAAGTATTAGGAAAATAACAGAAATGATTGTAAGCAAACTAACTTACTCTCAAATTTGTTATTTGAACTGAGATTGAGTGTATGCTCTTAAAAATATCAATAATTGCTAGACTGTTTTGCATCATTAAACTTTACGTAAACATACACATTCGCACACGCGTAAACACTACAGACATGCATGTAAAAGCATACTCAGACATTTGTGCGCTCGAAGAAAAAAGGAAATATGCCGTGAACAATATATGTGCAATTTACGAATGAAAAAGAAATCACTACATTAAGTAGAATACGCGTCACTTTACGTGGGTGTCTACGTATGAGTGTGTCACTTGTCTATCGACTTATTTATATAGTAAAGTGCATAAGTTTGTGTAATGCTTAAGCATATTTTTTATGTAACAAAATATTTTCATTATGGAAATAACTTTTATGAGAAACATTCGATTACTTTGAAAACAATTCGTCTTTTATCATTACTACTTTAATGGATTAATAAAATATATGATAACGTTACAAGAGGTATTTCTTGGTCCTTTACCTTCACTACTGAATTGCTGAAAATTTTGATAAGTAATAGTTAACGATAAAAACTCAAATCACAAACTGTACATATTTGCTTAGTATTTGCTATAAATTGTAAACTAGCTTCTTGCAAACAATTTCAATTATTTGCTAAGCTTTATTTAATCACAAATATGAGTGCCATACGTACAAACGTGTACATGACCTCCCCCATATGTTTATTCAATAAATTGATAGCAATTGCCTCTTCTGGAAGAAATATTACTTAAATTGTCTAAGATGGTGGTACTGGCATCAAGTGACTTACTGAATAATCGGAGATTCAACAGTGATAAAGAAGCATGCAAATGCCTGATTTTGTGATCGAACTTTAAATTTATTCGATCATTTGAAGCAGTAGCGAAAGAGTTATCAAAATTCAAATATTACCCGAATAATTTACTGTCAGTGTTTGGAATAGCGAAAACAATAATGAACAGCATTGCAGTTGATGACTGTCTTATACACAAATTCGTGACACTATGATCCAATCACTCTTGTTATGTATCAGTTTTGTAATGACCGCCGCGAAGAAAGACAAATATACTGAGAAAAAAACAACCAAAGGTCAACCAGGGTCGGATATCCATGTGTTTAAAGCTTCAACATCTTGTCATATTTGAACTTAGAAAAAAAGTAACTTTTTTTCTATGTTCAAATATGCGATATTTTGAATGGCGGCGGAAAATATTTCCTCCTTGCTATTTTCTATCCTGCGCATCAAATTCATGCAATAATTTTAAACTGCAAACATTCGTAGGCTATTTAAAAAATTTTTAACTCCTAATTTTTTTTAGCATATGAACAGAAACAAGAAATTGTCGCACATAACTAATTAAGTACTTAGCACATCACAGAAATGAAGGATTAAACATTTAAAGCTAAAACATGTTGATAACACAGAAAGATAGATTTACATTTGGAGTAAAGTTATAGTTGACCAGCTTCCTTATAATTTTGATATGTTATACGCATGCATTTGCCGCGGACAGCCCAGAGGAATAGATCCCAATTTCCTTTCTTCCATATTTCACGACTGTAAATCAAAATATGAAACAATACAAAACGGCACTATCCATCAAAACATGCAGTAAATTCAGAGAAGAAACTTTACTTGCTTCTTCTGTGCTTAATTTTTCCAACTTTATAGCACTTAATTTAAGAAGTTTTATATTTTTTGGAACTGCACTTGGGATTTTTGCTTTAACTTTTTAGCATAGACAAAAAAAAGTAAAAATTAACACAGTTTATTGAAAGATCTATCTTTACCTTATTTCTATCCCATTGTATCGTTCAACAACAAGCACCACAGCACCAGCATTCAACAATACAACACTTCGTCCTTTAAATGCAGGGTTAATCGGTTCAAAATAAAATTCATTGCTCCTACAAAAAACTTAACTCTCTTACAATCATATTTTTCAAGTCACACCCTGATTTCTTCTAGAATAGGTGACAGTTGTAAAGTAGAACTAAAATAGGTCACAATCATTTTCCAATTTCAAGGAAAATTTTCATTCGACGACTTTTATAAGTAAAATATTTACTTCCAAAGAAGAAGTTAAGTCAAATGCATACTTTTGGTTGTAGGTAAACTTATGGTTGATATCACACGCTAATGTCAACATTTCTGCTATTCGTTTTTCATCTTTCAATTCAAATGAAAGATCAGGAGGTGGAAGAAAGATATTACTCGATGAAAACTTTTGATCCTGAAAGAATATTTCTGATTGACAACACGACTAATTTCCATTAACTCGTAACTAGGTGACCTGGAAACAGAACAAAAATAACCAGATTATTTGAACAATCAGAAAAATTATCAGAATTATCAAAAAAATTATCAGAACTTTTTTTTTTTAATATCAGTCAATAAATAAAAAATTAAGCAACATTGATGAATAAAATCGAGAGTTTTCACAAAAGTTCTCATATTTAATACTGATATAAAGTTTGATATCTCTGACACACTGAAATAGATGTAAGTCGATGAATAGAAAGTACTTATTGCGAATTGAGCAAATTAAAATAGATGTGAGATCATAACGGTTTATTTTTACTGACTTTTAAAAGCTTTTTATTCATAACTACATAATACCTAATAATTAACAGCTCAAGATCCAAATCATTGTGCTCTAAAAACTTTATATATGTTGACGTTATCATACTTTATCTCTTGTAATTTTCAGCCATTATTAATGACCTGCAGCACGTTTATTTTTTGTTCAATACTTATTAACTTAATAAGCAAGTTTTTCAAAATATATTGCTGAAATAATTAAGAGCAATATAGACGTAACTCGAAAAACAAGTGAGCAAAAAAAGGTGTTCACTAAGTAATTTCTATACAAAGCATATCACTGTTACTACCAAATGATTCATAATATTATTTATAAAAGTGTGCAACTATAAAGGCTATTACTTGTTGAAAATTAACATCAGTTTGTAAAGTAGTATTTGTATTCATAATCGATTGCGCGAAAGTATTTTGCTGCTTGGTGTTTGACTCTTTTTGAGTATCTGCAATATCTCAAACTAAAGATTATTCAAACTACTTACGCCTTTAAATAAGGACAAATAAGGTATAAAAAAATATGGGAAGTCAGATAACATTTTTACTGAAATCAAAGTTATTGTTATGGTTTTTTTAGATTAAATAATGTTTTAAGACAATAGCAAACGATGATTTTGACCAAAAAATTAAAAAAGAAGCACAAATAAAGTCCTTGGTTATTAAGTATTGTTTTTTGACTAAAATAATAGTCGAAAAACAATGTATAACCACAAGGCTATAATAGCATTTTTTATTTAATTCTGAATTCCAAACATAAACTCTTGTTATAGAACTACTTAAATTGAAATGACAACTATGTAAACAATTTTAATGCATTAGTGACTGAGAAAAATATTTTCTAACAGCAAAATAAAATAAAGACTAAAAATGAAATAATTACTTGAAGCAGCATCCGTTGTGTACTTCGAATCTTTTGTGGTATGATCATGTTCCCCGCTAGCAAATAAACAAATTTTATCTGGAGCAAAAATTATTGCATACATGTGAAAATTACATTTCGTACGCTGCCAGCTGTTACACCGGTAAAATACTTTGGTACCATGAATCGATGTTACGTTTTTTCGTTTTGATACTTTTTCCCATCTACGTACTTTATCCATCTCTTCGAATGATGTGTACCAACCGTAAGTTCGCCATTCCCGTTTCATTTTGGTAAGTACTAAATTAAAAATTATTATGAAAACAATGAAAATGAACAACCATCATTCATATGAAACTTATTCAGCATGTTTACTGTCAGCTTATTACTTGTAATATGTGATTTTATAAAAAGTTTCACCTTTTCTGCACCAGTAATTCTATCCTTACTAAGTTATTTTTTTCAATATATTCCAAACATAAATCAAAGAATATTTCTAGCAAGTGCTTTTTTTCCGAAAAAATATAGTGTAAATAAGTATGATTTTAAAATATAAGAGAATAAAATTATTCAGTCTACCAAAATCATAACGAAAGTTCTTATTCGCAAAATTACATGTTAAAATATTATCATCCAAATTTTCGACTTTCAATACATAAAATAACAACTTCGTAAATAAGTGCTAGTTTGTAGTCATGATTAAAATCATATCTAAAATTAAAAGTGTCGGATTATATCCAAAACTTTGAATCAAATTTAATTGTATTTCGATTTTGGAATCTTAAACTTTATTAGTATGTTATCTAGAAAAAGATTACTTTTCGAAGAGTAATGTGAAATATACTTAAAGAAGTTATTTCCTATACATTTCACATCAACGAAACAATTCCATCCTATGACAAGATATTCACTACGTTATTACACAAGCTATCATGATATAAATAAAAGTAGGAGAAATATTGGTAAAATAAACACACAAAATAAATGATTTAATAACAAAGTTCAAATACCATATATTAATACTTCTAGTATATGAAACTAGAATTACCTTTCAAGATAACTTACAAGGTGAATCAGTTAAATCGTGCTCCTGATTATTGAAACTTTCAGGTGACTGTTGTATTCCCGGTGCAACAATGCACTGTCGATTAGCGTTAAAACTTGTGGTTGGCTTTTCCATCAAACTTTCGTCAAATTCTTCATCGCATCGTAAATCAAGTCCTTCTTCAGTACTACCTTGTTGTTGTTCAGTTTCCATCAGAGAACATGAAGAGGATTCTGACCGTAACTGAACTATCTTTACAGTAGCTACCATCGTGTCAATGATTTTACGTAAAACTGAACGAGCAAGCTAACTGAAAAAAAGATAAAAACTACACTTGAATTATCCTATAACTAAGTAAAGAACATAATAAATGTAAACACACTCAAGAAACAAGCTTAAACGCTATTTACGCTATTTTCATTCATATTAAAACTTAACATATTTAGTTTTCTATCAAAACAGCAGCTTGGTTATAGTAAAAATCTCGAGTGCTTTATTAAAGTACTATAGTTATAAAACCTTACTGAATTGTAATTACTTAAAAAACGCTAAAATGCAATTATTGTACAAATTTCAATATACTAAATATAGTTAATTTTTATTAATATTTACTATTACCGCTCATTTTTACATTTATAATAAGCAGTTATTCGTAATGAATAAGTAAAATTACTTCTACAGTAACTATAGAAATGCTACATACATGCAAGACTTTCAATAAAAGCAAGTTAATAATTACACCACTAACTGAATTAGGAAAAATAAGATTCTTGTGCAATTATTATTATTATTACTATCTATTATTTGGTTTTATTCATTGCTTATTATCATTACTATTACTGCACTAATAATTAAACATATCTGATGTATTAGCAAAAATAACTAGCTACTAGTACTGCAAAAAAAAATTCGATAGAAAAGAAATGTGAAGAATAGAAGAGCAACAATGTACCCTAGCTACTAGATAAATTTTGCTAGCTAATCTATCTTCATCTTACAATTTTACTTTTCACTCTAATCCACAATGCTATCTCATTTGCTAGCTTATATTTCGATCTAAACGATTTAATCCCAAATATTATTACATCAAATTGTAAATGCAAATAAATATTTAAAATTAAAGCATGATAACTCAACAGCACTAATAATACTACATCATTTTTAGAACTTCTGACAACTAATATCAGTGCAAGTAACTTCATTACTTTTATAAATAATAGTAGCTACTCCGTTTTTTTTCACACCAAAATAATCAATACCCCTTAGATATACCAAGCAAATGAGCACTATTATATATCAATACGAATCCTTTATTTCAAGTTTTATACTTATAAATAAACAAATACATGAAAAAATAACTGCTACTCATAATTCCTTGAAAAACAAAAATAAGCAGAATTAAAACAGCAATATATTTTAATAATTAATGAACAGTAAAAATAGATTAAAATTACACTGCATCAAAAAAGACAATATTTATTAACAATTAATCCCATCCCATTATCACAATAATCACTGATAATAATCCATACACCTGAAATAAGATAAAGTAGTATACATAAATAATTATGCATTTAACTCGACTAAGTAATATACAAAAATTTATCAAACTACGTTATCACTACGTAGTTTGAAATTGCTTCCACATATTATCTTTCAGCATTATCTTATTCCAACTGCAGTCATCGCTTATCCGCATCTCTGCATAAAGTTTTTTCTTAATTTCAGCTAACTTTGCGACACCACCCTTACCAATACTTTTCTCCCGAATTAATTCTGCAACACACTTCCTTAAGTTAAGCTCCAATTCACACCACTTCCCATCGTTGGAAGTCACTGCTACGCCTTCATTCTTAGATACAATCGTTGCAGTTACATTCTTAACAGCTTCTTTGCTTTTCTTAATACTACTAATATATAACAGTAATGTCTGTAGGTCATTCTCAGATTGATATCTGAAGAAATCATCATTTCCTGAAGGCAATTCCATCTCTTCATAAATTTTTCGTATAGTAGATTCTGGCACTTGATGCCGTTCACATCGCTGCATATTCTGTATCAAAGCTTTTTCTACTGGCACATCCACCAATACAGTTAGAAAAGAAAGATTAAACTTAGAAGACATTTTCCGAAATGGTCTTCGCATACTTTTCAGATAAAATATGTCATCAACGACAGTAACCATAAACACATTACCCCCTTCAGCATAAAATTGAGCCTTCAAGAATTTTTGTATTTGATACTCACATCTTTTCCGCTCACTACGAGCATTACGACTTTCTGCATTCAAACCATATAACTTGACCATACTCCCACCTACACTGTCTTCACCCCAAATATGTTCCACAAATCCATCATCGTTGAAAATATCATCATATGAAAACACTGTACAGACTGAATCTCCAAAACTTTCTCTTAATTTTCTACTGAGTTCTGTCTTTCCTGAACCCGGAATCCCCATAAGTAAAACCAACGCCATTACGCTAAAAAATAAAAATAGTTAAAGACAAAATGATCCCAATGTATCACGCTATCTTCAATGCATTCTACAACCAAAACTTATAGTCTGCCATACACCATTTCATTCAAAGGATTAACAAAAGCAAGCTGAAACCAGAGCTCCACATGTGCCCAAATTGAAATGAACCACCAAACATGATTGTTATTATCACTATGGACTTGGACTTCAAGAAAATAAAGTGATCTCGTGAACACCATTATTTAAAAAAAGCATAACTTTACACTTTCCGGATAACATGATGTATATTAACTGATGCATGCAGATGAGAACAAAATATTGTGGATATATGATGACACCAACAAACTGATTGCAGACGAAATTTCAAATAAACGACAAATCATCAATCCAAGAATCTCGGACTACAAATTACGACTCATTTTCACATAAATAAAGATTGCAAAAAAAGAAAAAAATAACGGACCACTCAATAACAACAGATCTTTTTTCCTGTACTTCATTACTGATTGATAAAAAAATGCTGCAAATCGTTGTTCAATTCGCACGTCCTTCAACTAAAATCAGAGTTATCTTTTAATAAAAGAAGACAATTTTTAAGAAAGATAAAAACTAATGTAGATGCATATGACATAGCGACGTATATATATATATAAAGACTTCCGATATGAAAACTAGTCTGATATAGAAACTTACTGTAGGTAGCAACTTCTATATCAATAGGAAGTTCAGTGACGTTTACGTCAAACCTATCCTGCACGTCATTCAAGATTTTCGCATCGTTTTCATCTGACACGAATGTAATGGCCAAACCTTTGGTACCGAATCGTCCAGCACGTGCTACCTTCAGAGTATATGATACAGCATTGCATTAACTTTAAACTAATTAAATGGTAGCCTAAATAAATACAATGAAAAAAAGTCAAGACAAAACATACCCTATGCAAGTAAGTATCAGAATCTTCTGGCATATCATAATTGAACACAATATTTACGCGTTCAATATCCATGCCACGGCCGAAAAGATTTGTTGCAACAAGAATGCGTTTCTAAAATAGTCTTTGATGTCAAAACTATATTTTGTCACAGTCAACTTAATTTTAGTACTAAGCACACCTCAGTGGTAGTGACGAAGGATGAACTATCACAATATCGTCAAAACATCATTAAAATGCATCACTGGCAGCTACTGTTGATATTATTGTAACTAGTACTACAAACACATGTACCTGAAAATCTTTAAACTGCTGATAACGAGATAGTCGCTCTTCTTGAGGCATACCGCGATGAATGGCAATGCTTGGAAAATTCTGCTCAGAAAGTAAAGTATGTAGAGCACCGCATCTCTGCACAGAGCGAACAAAAATAACAACCTAAAACAAGTAGACAATTCACATCAGTAATACAAATAAATTAAGATGTAAAAACATCCGATTACGCGAAAGAAAAGCACTTGCTTGATTGAATTCGAGCTGATCGAGTAACTCAAGTAACTTCTTATTTTTTTCAGCTTCTTTCAGTTTGACATAATGCTGTTGTAATCCGTGCAATGTTAATTTAGCTTCATCGTCCACATATACTTCCATAGGCTGTAAAGTTCAATAAATGAAACATATTTCGACAGTAGAGTATAAGACCCCAATAGATGTACACATAAACATTAATAAATGTTTCCTGTCTACTGCACCCTATCAGCACAGAAAATTCAACAAATAAATGATGATAGTAAATCTTGTAATTTTCTAAAATGTTTCAAATGACCGCTAATGTGTCATTTTAAATTTGCTATGTCGAACACTTTGCTCTGACATTCAGGTGTTGCAGTGTTATGTGTGAACACACAATGGCAGTGGTTCACTCGAAAGTCATTGAATTAACCTTCATTTCACGCCTATGTCTTAGATTATTAGAAGCGATGTCATTTAAAAAACTAAATGTCGCCAAGAGTTTGCTTCTGATTCGTAACAAAAAAAACCACAAGGCTTTCCAAACGTCTGTGGCACATTATGTTCCACCACGAACATAAATTACTCCAAATTTGCTGCGCCAAAAAACTTTCAACTGACACACGCAATGCCATTAAGTACGGAGTATCGAATCCTTTATCAGGAGTAGATCTCGGAAGGAAACCTGGAAACCTGCTTACTATAAATCAGTAAATTCAGAAAGTTTATAATATACTTAAGATCTAATGAAACTGTTAGTGTATGTAAATTAAGATTATATTCTTAAATGAAAATTTTTAAAGAATAAAAAAACTCACAAAGGCTTTTTGGAGAAAATAAAAGTAATCAAACGAACTTTAAAAGACAAATTACCTTCCGAAAAATCCACTCCTTGACCCAAATAAATTGCAGCAAAATAGAGAAGTAATTAAGGGAAAAAGGACTTAATGCAGATTAGGCGTGAAAGAGAAGAAAATGCAGTAGCTTCAACGTGCACAGATTTATTGACGCGATACTCATTGAGTATTTTTGAGCGGCGACAATTTTTACGTATTCTCATCCAACCAGTGCTCAGGTGATATTCCGTCAACGCATATAGTGTATGAACGTATGCTGCTGGTTGCACCAAAAAATCTTACATCTTGCATGAATTTTTTGCAGACCACTCGCAAATCCTTTGGTAATGTGGCGCTGAACATCATCACTTGTTTTTCTTGCGGTGTCATCTTCACAATTTCTTGAACGTCTCGTCTCATATCTTCAAAACATTTCGTAGTATTTCATTGCTAATTATTACAATATCAAATGCAGTAAAAATAAAATTCCAGTCAATAGCAATACTTATATACAAAAAACAGGAACAAAAAAACAAACCATTATCACCAATCATTTTGTCGCATTCATCTAAGACGAAGTATTTGATGTTTTTAAGTTTCAAGCTTCCCTGTCGTGCCAGTTGAAGAGTACGTCCCGGAGTACCTACGACAATATGTGGTGTGTTGCTTTTAAGTGTCTCCTCATCTTTTTTAATCGGTATACCGCCGAAGAAAACAGCAATCCTGACACCTGGTATGTACTTACTAAATCGTTCATACTCTTTAGAAATTTGAAACGCCAGCTCACGTGTATGACACATCACTAGAACAGATACCTGCAAACAGAATAAGTCTGAAATAGATAAAGATGAAATTCTCAGAATTGGCTTCATTATTACTCACTTATAACTTGCAGTCAAAGAAAATATACAATTTACAGTTATTCCCAAATATAGAAGATGAGATGAGCTGAATACTTACTTCACCATCAATAGGTTCAAGCTGTTGCAGAGTGGCAAGAACAAATACAGCTGTCTTACCCATCCCTGATTTTGCTTGACAAACGATGTCCATTCCCAATATTGCTTGAGGAATGCACTCATGTTGTACTGCAAATTCGTAACGATTTATGCAAACCAATGACAGAATAGATGTTGATCATAAGTGAAACAATCATCATGCACTGAGCACTTAATTTTTCACCATTTTTTATGCTTTTCATCAAATCACATGAATCTAAAGTGATTAATTCAATCCCAATCATCTGACGACTCAATTTCATCCCATGGTACCAAATCATTACTTATGAAAAAAGAACAAACAAATCGACCAGGAGTAAGAAGAGAAACCTTCTGAAGGATGCTCAAACCCACAATCGACAATTGCTCTCAATAATTCCGGCTTCAACAAAAAATCTCGAAATCCGCTGCTATGGATTGAAGCATATGTACCCTATAGAATAAGTCATACTAATTCATTGCAATTAGTAAAAACGAACTGTGTAACTCTATTTGACCATTTTTCTTATTAAAAAATTGTTCAAAAGAGAAGGTAAAATTTGAAAAACGACAATTACCAGAACAACCTTTATTTTTAGAGAGGAGAAAAGAGAAAATTCTGATCTCACTAGTCTCCATCAACATATTGTAATAACCAAAATGATGTTATCTTATTAAAATAACAAATAATGAACAGAACTTCAAACATTACCGGAGCTAGTGACAATTATGAATTGAAATTTGGTTTAAAAAAACTTAAAGAGTACAAGATACCTTCAGCTTTTTATCTCCTGCTGAACCATTTTCAGCTTTAGTCGCATCAGTGGATTCTTCTTGTTCTTCTTCGTAGTCCAAAAGTTGATCCTCATCCATTATTTCCCAAAAATGCGTTCAAACTAATTATCATAGAACTGCAAACTGATCACCTACTTTCTCAATACTTATTGTACCTACAGCAATTTACAACTGCAGCTTATACGAATACTAATACATCTAACACCTCGGTTTGCTTAAGATGACCGCTCACAACCCCGTCCATGCTACATTAACGCGTTGTTAGATACACAAAACTCATCGAATGACATGTCCTGCAAGAATCTAACAATACTTAAAGCGATAAATTAGGCAAAAAATCGATCGTTTCGCTATATCACCCTGAGTACGACTGGACCAGAGAACACAGCGCAATGTCAATATCTCATGTGAATAATTTGATTTGCAACATCTCAACAATCGAAAAGCCCTGTCTGATGGGATTTACGATTTTTTCTGTCTTAGGTGTCAGTTTTTGTACAGACAGTGTGCTTTTAATCTAAAATATTAAAATCTTTTAAAAATAGTGTCCAGTAGAAATAAGTAATTTATACTTTGTTATCTCTTTTGTCATATATTTTAAACTTTTATTAAACTATTTTAAACTGTACAAAACATTGTATTTGCGAATTATTTAATTGTAAATAATAAATAATTGTCAATAATAATTGATATTTGTCAAAATGAGCTTTGAAAAAAACTAATCAACCATATTAAATGTGATTAAAACAAAATAGAAAGACTACACAATGTCTACTACTTTGTATTCTGTATTAACTAATCAAGAATTGCTTTATAACATAATTAAAAAATCTATGAAAATCCACTCAATATTCGAGCTTGCTAATTAATTTACCAACCAGTTATCGCTTCCAGACAAGAATATTTTATCCCTAATCATTATAAAGAAATCACTTCATGATCGAATCCTTTTTAAAGAGATAAACTTACTACATATAGATTTGTACTACATGATCTCAAGATATTTGTAGGATGATCTGCTGGATGCTAGCTCACTCATACGTATATCTTAGTGTGTAAAATTCTTACTGAAATTCAAAGTATTCATTACTTTCTCTTATTAGCCAATCTGTTGTGCTTAAGCCAATTTGTTGTACTTAAGTTTCAAGTTTATAAATTACTTTTATTCGTGCTGTGTCAACGATATAATAATATACTTAATACAGTTACCCATTTAGTTGTACTGTATGTCCTCAGATTTATTAATTACTTTTATTCATGTTGTAACAACGATATAAGACATTAAATATACGGTGAAAAAGTGAATCTTGAGAGTGAGAAATATACGCGAAAACAACAAAAACGATAAATTCGAAATTTCTTTCGTCTAAGACAGCAAAGAGCTTCACAAAATTATGTGAAAGTGAATCCAAGTGTTCTGTACATTCGGTATATTTTTTCAATTGCATTTGCAAATGCTGCCGTGCGGATATCCAAACCCAAGTCATACTTGTGCGCAGTTTCAATCAGGGCTTTTCCTAAAAATCCATAATTGTTTTATAAGTAATGCATGTTGATATTTTAGTTTCATACTTGATCAATTTGTAAAATGAAAATTACCCGAACGCTGCATTGAGTATTCTAAACCTGAATGCACAATATCCTTCTCTGATGCACCTGCGATACGATTCTTAAACTCCATTGTCGGTTCGATTTTCACGTCTTTATTGAGACAACGTTTCAACGATTCTTGAACGCTATCTTAAAAACCAAAAAAAATTTATCAATGACTTGAAAGACAAAATTCAGAAACATTATTGTTAAAGAACACTTATTACCTTACTAGAAAAATCTGATTCAATTTTTACCAACGTAATGTGTGTCGAAGTACTTTTTTACTTTTAATAGGAGTCTGCTTTTGTTATTTACTATTCAAACGTACGTATAAAAAAAAGTATTTACCAAGCAAATGATAATTAGAATCCTTTTCATACTTAAATGTAAGACGTCCATAACTGACATGATTAAGATTCTTCAACCATTCAAAATAAGATACAGTAACACCCCCGCTGTTAACAAATAGATCGGGTACAATAAGACAGTCACCACGAGCAAGCAATATTTTATCAGCAGCTGGTGTTGTTGGTCCATTAGCTGCCTCTGCGATTACCTGGAAACAAATGCCAAAAAACAATGCTGCTAGACTTAAAATAGCAGTCTGATAATGCGATAATCAGTGGTACGTTCTCTTAGAAAATTACCATCTGGATTATAATTAGCACATTCCATCATCATTACCTTTGCCTTAATTCTGTGGGCATTTCCTTTGTGGATGACTTTCTCACATGCGGCTGGTACAAATATATCACAATTCTCATACATAAGATCACTGAATGGTTCGAATGGTTTAGCTTTTGGAAAACCCTGGAAAGTAAAAATAGTTGCGATCAAACTACTTCTCTGAGAAATCACCATTAAAAATCTTACAGGATAATAGCAAGGATGATTCTAAATCTTTAGAAGAAGTACTAGTATCATAAAAAATGAAATGCGCAATAATGAGTCATCTTGATTTTCTCATAGGCTCAATTACTGGATTTACTGAAATTACAAATAGTTCGCTTCCCAAATATTCTGAAATGGATTATGAATTGCGTAGTCACGTTCCTAAACACTCATGCATCTTGCTCCTCTAATACTTTTGCCCATTCTCTTAGTTAGTTGATGTAAGCTGATGACTTATTGAGATTCAAAGCTTATTTCAGATTTTTCTGATTTTTGAATACAGGATAATATTGATAAAGATAAATGAATAAAATACTTTAATAGAGCCACTCTCAATGATATGATCTTCTAGTTCTCTTGGATGAATACCGTCAGGATTAAAAATTGCACAGTCATATTCCTGTACACCTATACATCTTGCACCAGCTCGATGAAGATAGCGAGTAGTATGCAAGCCTACATTTCCAAATCCCTGAAATACCCAAATTTATAAAATAACATTAAGAATGTCTATTCAAAAGAAAAGGAAATCATAGCTATATATAATAGTCCGCTTACTAAAACTGCCTTTTGGTAATAAATAAACAATTGACCGTATTGTAGAACTCCGCGAATGATAGACCTGAATTGCTGTAGACTACGTATACAAAAATGTTGATTCAGTGAATATATGTAATGACTTAGCAAAACTGAATATGACGTAGTAGAACTAAAGAGAAACACGCCTGCACGATGAAAGTTTTTCCACTAAAGCCTGGTGTCAGTCCTACTCGTGACATGCATTCTTCGTTGTTAATAAATACTTCAAGACCTTTCCATACTCCTCGTCCCGTTGCTGATGTACGTCCATGTATACCTAAAACGCTTAATGAACAAGTCTATCAAAGTTTTTCATCTTCGAATCAAAATTGCCTGAATTTTCAATGTTATACAAAAATCTATAAAAAAATTACCTCCAGCAACAATTGGTTTCCCAGTAACACAAGCAGATGCATCTTTTTCCAAATGTCCTATGGTTTGTGCATATGTATCTGCAATCCAACCCATTTCACGTTCACCAGTTCCCATATCAGGTGCAGGAACATCAACACCAGTTCCCAAAAATCCTTTTTTAGCAAATTCTACTGTCACGCGACGAGTAATTTTTTCAATTTCATATTCCGTATATTTTTTGGGATCAATCTTTACACCACCTGAAATAACATTATCTCTTTTGAGGCAGATTCATTTACGATCACTGAAATAAAATGCAACATAACGCCTATTTTAATATCGTATTCTATGTAAATTTAGAAGTGATATAATCATAGCGATAGAAATTGCGTAAATCTTTTATAACGCCGAAAAACAAATTTATGATTAACATTAAGACGAACTGACTACCTGCATCTTTGAATTTGTCAGAAGGCATATTTGAATTTAACAGAATTTGAAAAAGTAGACTAAAGAGTGTACACCGATTACAATTAATATCTTTAGTACCTTTTTATTCTTCAGACTTCTAGCAATAATTTAGAAATAAATACTGTACTGAATAGTTGCATGACCTAAGAGAGTCTGAAGAGTGCTAATAATGAATAATTAAGAGAAGCTGTCTAGAATAAACTAATAACATATGATATAATTTACATCACTACAGTGAGTACGAAAAATGAGTAAGTACATTCTATTACAAATGCTAACCTTTAGCCCCACCAAATGGAACATCAGAAACAGAACATTTATATGTCATCAAAGCAGCTAATGCTCGTACTTCATCTTCACAAACGTCTAATGCATAACGGATGCCTCCTTTCGTAGGAGTACGATGCTCGCTGTGTTGTGCTCTCCAAGCTTCTATCATTTCATATTCACCATTCTCACGACGAATAGGAAATGTGATGTATAAAACCTAAAAATGTAAGCTTATTAAATTAGAGTTACATTTAACCAAAGTATATGCACTTACTTTATTTGCAGGCTTGATTGCACGCAGTATACCTTCCACCAAGTTTTTTTTGTCTTTGACAGACAGATTATGTGATTTAATCTCATCGACAAGTTTTGGTAAGATTACTTGCGATCCCTTATCAAAGTAGTAATCCACCATCTGTAAAACAATACACAGATATAATACCATAACACTGAGAAATATACTGTAAGACTTAACTGTTCTATTCATTTTGCTGTTAAAAACAGTTTTTTTTTCTTTGAATTCCAATTACAAAATGCAAGTTTTACCTTGAAAAATGATGGATTCATTTGTTCATCCATGGGAAGTTTCAAGTCATCAAGTTGAGCATGACTTCCCATAATTGGAGGTGTAGACAAGTATCGTAAGCTCATTGAAGTAGCTATACGAGTTGTGTTCCGAACAAAAGACAACATGTCGTTGCTATTTTTTGATGAAGTGATATCTCAACTATCCTAAAATATTACAAAAAATTAATTAGAATAGCAAATTTGAAGTATTTTAATCATTTTCTATTAACAATAGCAAATATTTACAAATTTAATTTAATTTAATTTAATTTTTTTCTAATACTACAATAATAATACCTGCGAGTATACAGTTAAACAAACATTGTATAGAAGTGAAAGAATACAATACTCTTTCATGGAACATAATCTAACTACTTTAATTATCTTAACTAAATAAAACTCTATTGATATTATCAGAAGAACTAAAAATACTATTACTATCACAATAAATTTGCATATTACATTAAGTATGAATTACAACAAAACTTAAAACAATTCTTTTAAATAAGAATTAATATAATACATTTTATTTTATTATTAATAAATTATTATTAATAAAACGAAAACAATTAATGAATGTTTAATTTTCAAAGAAATGAAATGAACAGTGATAGAAAATTTGCACAAATTGCAATATTAAAAAAATTTTTGTCTTTTTTTTTTCAAAAAATACAATCATAAAAAGTATTAAAGTGTAAGTGATAGATATCAGAAGGAAAAAACTACACAAAAGCACTACTGCTGCGAATTCAACACTGATTCGTCGTTTAAATTCAAGCATCTACATTTGTTCTGCTATTATTGCATACTCATTTATCATTCAATGAATTTAAAAATACTTTACTTTAAAATTAAAAAGCAAATAATTTAAAAAAAAAAAAACAATTCATTAGATCAAATACATTATGACATCATTACAAATCAAGCAGTCGATGATGACTGATCTGATTTATTAGTAAAGCAATTTAAAATTAGTTATTCAGTTACTAATGATTTTTGACTAAAGCATATCACTGATAAAGAACAATTAATTACTTATATTCGTTGAAAAAATCTTTGCTCCACTTTTTTTTTTTTTTTGGTTTGCTCGCATTGTACACAATAAATCACTACATCATTGATACATCAGAAATCAGTGCAAAACGTGAACAAACATTTCAGTCTACCCCAAATTTTATCACTTTTATCAGTAATATTACTATTATCAGTTTACTTGTTACCTTATTCTGAATCCTCTTCGTACTACTTTAACTGCTCTCTAATCATACTGTTAACTTATCAAACGATATCGTCCATTTTTTGCAATTTTCAAATTTAATACTACTAAAAAATTAGCTACATTTTCAAAAATACATACAAAATTCAAAAGAAACAATGTTTTGTTCTGTTCGTTTTTTCCTCTTCAATAACGTATCAAACTTACAGTAATTCTAAAATTTGAAATTTTTGTAGCATCAAAATTGCTAATAAATGCCATTGCTGTTTACACAAAGTTTGCTAGCAAAAATTACACCATTTTTTTAATAATTTTGAATTAATAAAATTGTGATCAGTACAGAACTAACAATTTGTATACATTTATGACGTATATTGACAAATTTATTTGATTTATTGGTTCATTAAGCTTTTGTATAGTGTTGAGTAAAAATTTTTTTAAAAAAAAACCCTACAAAATTTTTTATAAAACCAAATCTTAGCAGTATTTATTAAATTATAGTATTAATTGTAAACCACGCTAGCTTTATATCAATGTAACTGTTATTAACAAGTCACTCCTATTGTACATATTACTGAACAGTTAACATAGAAAAGCTTTCACGTACATATACACAGCCTACTACTCCAACGTACTTTCTTTCTACCACTGAATTACTAGCAAGACGTTTAGTAAAAATTTCTACACTAAGCTTAATTTAATTTCAACTTTAAAAAATTTAGCAATACTTAATTACACTGCATAGTGTACACGCTTAAACTGATACAATCAGAGTTGAAAAAAAAATTAATATCTTTTCAAAGCAATCAGTGAAAAAATCATTAATAGACAATTACACGCACACACGACACCCACACACGCACACACGACACACATACACGCACACACGACACCCACACACGCACACACGACACACATACACGCACCCACGACACCCATAGACGCACATAAACTAAAAGAAACATTTGGTAGCCTATGAAAGAGAAAAAAATTAAAGATGAACAATGAGCGCAAATTTAAAAATTAAATTTTATCAAATTTAATGAAACTAAATTTCTCAGTATTTAACTAAACAAATATGACTTGTAATTAGTGTAATTAATAAGGGATATATTGATGAATAACAAAAAATCATTACATTGCTAAAAGAATAGCTAAATTTAAATATACAAATCATCACGTATAATTATTAGTATGCACAGCTTTTGTTGAACGATTTTTGATCACTAAGCAATACACTAGGCAGCCATTGTGTGATACAAAAAGGGTCATAAATGAATAACGTCATCATGATATAAAATTCTAACTAGCTAGCTGTCTGGGTCAAATGTGAACTGTCCAGATTCATTGATTTATTTGGTACATACAAAAGAGTACAATACAGTCTGATGAACAAGAAAGACATTTATTTCTAGCATTCACTTTCTCTGTACAATTCAATTGACTAAACTCATTTAGAGCATGCTAACCTCACTCCCCACTCCTTTCCCCACTAGCAGTTACACGTAAAAATTAGGGGACGTAACAAAGTCTTTTTTACCCACAATTACTTCTGTTATTTCTGTTAAAAGAAGTAATTAATTTGACAAAATCTTACGTTATATTAAAAAAGGATTTCAAATTTCAATAAATTGTAGGTATTACTTTTGCAGACTAAAATTAAACTAAAAGTGATTGACACTAATTTAGTTATATTTAATATTACAATCTCACACGTGACTTTTCCCCGTATCTAACTTTTGCTTTTACAATTATAAATGTAAGTAAGTGACGGAAAAGTACGATTTGTGACGTCAAATTCTCGAGTTAACCTAAATAAAAACACGCAAACAGTAATATTTCGAAGTAGAAAAAAACTGATGATAGCATCTATAGTTTGATCCACTTGCTAACTATAATGTATTTAACCAACTATCTAAGGATAGATATCCTTATGGGAACAGTTAGAGGAAAGATAAATGTACTGAACTTTTGTAGTAATCTGTGGTAATTTTTTATTCAAAGCACATCTTTATCTATTTACCTATCTATCCATCTATTTATCTATCCATCTACTACGTATCTATATCTATCTATCTATCTATCTATCTATCTATCTATCTATCTATCTATCTATCTATCTACCCACCTACCCATCCACCTTATTTTTCTACAATTCATGAGAAGATTCAAACAAAAATCACTACGTCTTTTGTAGGAAATGAATACATAAACACATTTGAATATGTTTGTACATCCATATTACAATATCGTCATTCTCTTTACAAAGTCATAATTCATTAAATTTAGATTATTTATATTACAATAATCTACAGTAATAAATTATACCACCAAACATCCTATATCAGTTAAATTTTCCATCTTTTCACACTCATCAATCTGTAGCAATGAAAATTATTTACTTTATAAAAATCAAAAGAATAAAAAGTTCAGACTTAACTTAAAATAATATCACAAATACGTAAAATTATGATGTGTGTGAAAATTTAAAACTATTTCATTTTTCGATCATTTTCTCGTGTTAAATTCATTTCATGATTACTTCAAGAATAGCAATAATAATAATAATTAATTAATAAGCAAATAATCTATACTCATTATAAGCAATATAAAAATTTACAAATTGAAGAAAGACAATTACAAATTTAGCTCTTAACATTGTTCAAAATATTCACTGACATTATCCATAGACGAAAAATTATCACTACTGATAATGAAGACGAATCGTCCTGATCCTGATTTATGGAGGCAAAAAACAGAAGACAGAGATTTGACTTACTATAAATGAAACGAATATACATCTATACTGATAAAGTTTATCTCTGCCATCAAAAATTTACAAAAATATTAGAAATAATGACCATATATACATATGCTTTAACAGATAGAATTACAGCGACTGCTGAAACCAAACATATTGTTGAAAAGTAATCCTACAAACGCAGAATCAATACCCTTGTGCAAATGTAGTAAAATTTGCATACAAAAACTTTCAAAAATTTTTATGAGATCAATAAAGTACTAACATCTTTAATTAATTATGATAATAATTTAGTAACTTTATTTAGCATCATTAATAATAACCTATATGACTTAATTGTGCAAAAAAGTATTTGTAATAAATATATGAAAAACGTGCGTAGCATATAAAATTTTAGATTATTTTTTGTAATATATGTCATGTTGAGCTCATGGAAAGAGCTTCAAATTGTTGTACTACACAGCTGTCCCGTTCTTCTTTAAGTAAAACTTCTGTATCCTCTATTTCATGCTTTGAAGCGACCTCCGACCTAAAATACTAATAGTCATTAATTGCCAATTAATTTTGAATATAGCAACAAAATCAAATTATTTATATTATAAATTTTTAAATTATTCACATTACTATCTCTCACTTCTTTATGAATTAAAAAACCATCACTTTTAAATGCATAATTTTTTCATATTAACTTCTCTCCTCCTCCAAATTCTAAAAATACCCTCCTAAAAGTTTCAATTTTTCGTAAGATTTTTAAATTTCAAATTTTTAAAAAGTTTTATTGATTATTTTAATCCAAAACATGATATAAATAAGCTAAAGCAAACTAATTTTTGAAATTAAACAAACGAGTAAGATAACGAAGAGCTCGGTTGGTCATTTGAACTCGTACCCAATTCAGGTCCCTCTTGCAGTGTCCCCAATCTAAATGCCATTTATTTAATCTCTTGCGATTAATTTTTGAAAGTTCATTACTAAATTCAACTCATATAATAATTCATCAACTTTTAAAATTTTGAAAATCCAAATCTTTCCTCTCATTAATATAATCATTTTAAGTCTAATTTGTGTTCAGAAGTAGAATGATTTGGTATTATTTTCAAGTTATAAATTTTGCAATACTGAAATCAAATCAAAAAACCAGAAAAAAATATCATGAAAAAATATACGAGCAATGCTGCGTATGCTGCACACGTGGATGATGACATGGACTTTCAACTGGTAACTTTTCAGCAACTCTTATCACCAAAAAATTGATAACATCAGATAAAGAAATAATTCCCTGAAATAAAAAAATTTTAAGAAACAAAACTTATCATTTATTAAAAAATTGTCAAATGATAACTTACTGGGATAGAAAATTAAAAGCCATGAAAGCATAAATAAACTTGATGCATCAAACAATCATTTATAAACACAAATGGACGACTAAGAAGATTTTGAAAAGATCTTATATACACTAAACATCTAATAGCATAAGCATAAATTCACCTGAATCACACCATTACTGCTTACAACACAAAGTCGATGAATATTTCTTTCCACAAGCACTGTAATTGCTGTCCAAAGTGAATCTCGTGATGATATCGATACAACGCGATCTTTTTCGAGCTGTAATTAATCTTCATCAGAAATTCTTCACATAACGCAATCATAATACAATTATACCTGAATCAACTTGATGTATACAGACATGAAACAATCGTTTCTAAAAACTAATTAATAAATTCAGAGTCATTTTCAAGAAAATCCTAGATTTCAACCATTTCAGTATTACTGTATTTTCTACTTCAGTATTTACAAAAAACTTAAAGTTAAAAAAAAAGAAAAAAGAATACAATAAAAGCATAAAATAAAATTTACTAAATTTATGACTGATATACAAAAATAAATCGAACTCTGAATGTATTCCGAAAAGCCAATGCTTCCTGTACTGTTACATCAATATCGTCAATTTTATCTTCTAATACTATGCCAATTGCATCAAATCGTGAATACATATCAACTACACGTAATGTGCTACGTTCTACGACTGGAACACCACTAACTCCTTTGTTTAACAGTATATCCAGACAAAATATTAATGATGTGTCGGGAAATACCTGAAATACCACATATACATTATACTCACTATGGAACTTCTAAGTTGCTCGGAAACACAATTTCATTTCAAAGCTTTCAAAAATACCCACTGACAATAATAATTATTATTAGCTATCTTACTAGAAAAAAATTACTTTCTAAACAATTTTCAACAATATTTAGAAACAATACTTCAATATCACATGAAAAAGTTTTTACACAGCAAAATAATCATAAATATACTTTTGTAGTAATAATTCAATACTGAGCTGAGTGACAACTTTATTCTTTACCATCAAATATGAATAACAAAATGCTAATCTCTTTATAAAAAGTTAACCTAAAAAGAAAATTTTATTTATTTCAATTGTGAACGTGAGTTTTTAGCAGTAAACGTTTATGAAGAATTCACCATTTTACGTCAATTTACCGTTTTACGTCTTCAAAAAATGTAAAACAATAAAATAAATATTTCTTCTCAACGCTTACAATTTATTTATGAGCAAATTTTGAACATTGGCAACAAATAATAATTAAATTGTTGTACTTCTAATTTTGATACGGAATACTCTAGTTGTTATAATTCAGTACTAATTTCGTGAAATCTATAACATACAGAAACGCAACTTACTACGCGTATCCCATTATAAGTACCAACGCCAAGTTCTTTACATGTTTTTTTGTGATGGTCGGAAATTGAAAGTGATTGTCCCTTAAAAACAGAATCTTCAACAATGATTGCCTCAAATACATTTAAAAGTAATAATATCATAAAGCTTTAATATATTATAATAGACGTACAAAAAGCCATAAAAACTTCAGAATCCGTTTGTGAGTTAAAATGAACAACGCACTACCATCAATTGGATCCATCACCGGCAAACGATGTATACGATGTTTACTCAGTAACAATGCTGCTTTTAACAAGCTAAAATTAAAATAAGTAACTAAGGTATGCAAAAAAAAAAACGAATTTAAAGTTAAGTAAAGAATATTTACTAAAATATATGATGGAATTTAAAAAAGTGAAAAATCTTTCCTTGCCCTCATTTATGAATTATGATTATCTTCTCTACAAAATTACAGTAATAATGACCTTTCTTCCGCAGTTATTGTCACAAGATCCATTAACTTTCCTTCACTGCGAATTAGATCTAAAATTAAAGTGAAAACACGTACTTATTGAAAAAAGAATTACACTTTATAATATTAAATAAAACAATGTTATTTGTTTAAAGATGAAAGAATAATATTTAAAATTATTATTCGGATAATTAATTTTTAAACATAAGAAAACCTTTTGACTGCTTTTATAATCACTTTTATTTTCAAACTTTAATAAAGTCAAAAGGTTTTCTTATGTTTAAAAATAAATTAATTAATTAATATACTACTACTACTTAATATCAAAGCCTATATCTCAGATATAATTTTGTACTTTACAGTCCTATACCATAACTTATATCATATTACAGAAACTACGTTAATAAATTTTGATCAAAATAAAAAACCTCTATACTCAGATATAGTAAGTTTTCCAATATCTTCCTTTGCCATATTTGATACGATATTTACCAATTCTTCCTTTATCATTCCTTCTCGACATATATTATCAATGTTTTGACTTTCTTCAACAGATATTTTCGATTGCTTCACATCACTACCATTTTCATTCTGGCTATCATTCATCGAACAGTTATCAGTGCTTGTAGCGCAACAATCTTTTTGCTTATTATCCACTTTTCCATTTTTAACTCTAAAAAATTGCATTTAAAACATGTTTGCTGAACAAATTTTTACTCAATTATGCAAATTACTACTTTGGTTTTATCCGCTAAATGGCTAAATTTATTTTGAGATAAAAATCTATTAAGTATCTATCAAATGTGTTATTTGTGTTAGCTATTAAATGAGAAAAAATAAATATGAAAAATTTTAATTCATAAAACTAATATAAACTCTGAAAATTATTAAATACAAACTACTAACTAAAAATTTCAATTTTTGTTTATATTCAAATATTTTGAAAAATTTTTTTATTAAAATTTGTTAAAAATAAATAAAGCTTACTTATGTAATAATAAGAGAACACGTATAAAATCTGTCACAGACAATATGCCCACAATTACATTTTCATCAGAAGAATCGAATAGCAAAACATGCCGAGTATCTGTAATTTTTAATCATTATTAATTCCAAAAACCAATTCAAAACATTTATTATATTTTGCATAAATTTGTTTTATTGTTTAATAAACTTACTGATTAAAGTAATAATAACTTGGATAACTGACAAAAATAACTTTCATGTATTAATACTAATTTTGAAAATACAATAAAAACTTATAAGTAATATTAAATAATTTTTTAATATTACTGCAGCTTAACAATTCACTGAATAATAAGATAGATGTTCTTAAATGAATACATTTGATATATAAGTAAATAATTTTTTATTTGATATATAAGTAAATAATTTTTAATAGAATAAAATGATTTAATCATACAGAATTTAGCAAAAAAAATGAATTAATAATAGCGTATTATAATAATATTTATAGAATCCAAAATTGTTCACCTTTTAATCTTAAATTTCTTTTAAACTAATTTATTATTCAAGTAATTGATATGAATGTTTTTCTCAGATCGTAACTTTTTAAATGCAAGCAAATGTTAAATAATCTCAATAATTACGCAAAATATAAAACAATGCTTTATTATTTATCTATTTAAAAACAGCAAAAATAATAGCACACTATTTACAAAAATATCTTTTAAATAATAACACCTAAGATACTAATAGATACTAATAGTTACTTTGATAAATAAGCCCATTAAATGCTTTCTTGAGTTGCAATTTTGTATCAAATACAACAATTTTTGAACTTGTTGGCATTGCTTCATAACAAGTATTCAACTGCATTAATCGAGCATAATTTAAGTCAGAATTTGGATTGATCTGGTGATGTACATCTAACCCATGTTGTGACCTACAATCTGTTGCTGAAGTAGATACGTTCAAATGACGATGCGGCATTGCTCCCTCTGCTGATTTCAACCTATAAAAATTATATTCCATAAAATGTTATCTTATAAATTTTAATTATTTTTTTTCTTCAATAAGCAAAAACTTGTTAAAAAATAACATCATAGTTTAATTAAAACTTATATTGCAAATGTTTTCTGACATAAAATGATGAATTACTAAATATGACAAACGTTTTTTAATACTTTTTTGTTGGCTATATTTATTTTTGCAATGCTTTCATGCTTTCCAGCTATTTACAAGAGAAAATTTTTAAAAAGTCAACATTTTAAAAATGTAAAAAACACGATAATAAGTGAAAATAAAAAATTATATACTACAATGAGATATGTGAAAGTAAGTAATTTAGTATTTTAATGAGTAAAAAAAGCATTATGACTTGATAACATAAAATAAAAAATAGTAATAATTAAGGTTTATAACATAACATAATATACATATTACACATAACGCAGTTATTACTTTGATACATAACTGTATATCCTTTCTCGTGTAAGAAAAAAGTAATGACCGATCACTTTATCAAATTTGCATGACCTTACAAGAATAACTTACTTCTATCACATATTCAAAATATATATATATATATATATTTTAAATAATCAATAATACCTGAAATCGAAAAAAATGAATTAGAAGAAAACTAGTACAGCCAGTTATTATTTAGTTAGTTAAAGAATGCTCAAATCAGTCATCTGATATGTCTTTCATTTCAGTTCAGAATTGTGCTAAAGCGTAAAACTAGTTCTTCTTTGCAAAGATCACACTCTTACGTTTTCTTCCGTACAGCTACAGCTTGTTCTTCTAGAAATGATACTTTTTTTTTTTCAAAATATCGCCCATAAATGGTCAAACTTGTGATAATTTGTGCCACAAACAAGCAAAAATAGACAACATTATCAGCTTTTTTAAATGCTATCAGATTCATTTCATTACTGAAAAATAATGATAATTATGCAAATATATCTTGCAGATGGATGAATTATTAAGATTTAAGCATGAAAAGTATAGCAAAAATAGAAAATTTTAATTAATCAAATATCTGATACTATATAAGAATTAATTATTCAATAAACTATCAATATTTAATAATTAAAAACACGCTAAATTTTCATGTCTTAGAAAACTGCTCAAGACTTTATATTCTAATACTGCTATACAAAATTTTTATCACGAAACTGTACTTTTTTAAATTAAATTGAAAGGATAATGAGTTGAATGATAACATATTAATTGTCATGTGATGTAAAACATAATTTCTGAAGCAAACTGAAGTGAATGATAACAATACACAAAACTATCACAATAATCTGCGACTTACTGTTAGAAATCCATATGATAGAAATAACTAAATTAATTAAACTAAAATAATCATCCAAACAAATGTAAGATTTTCAGACCACAAATTCAAACCAAATCTTTTCATTAAATTTAAACTTTATTCAATAATTTGATTTTTATTTTCCTTTTCACCTGTTGTTATGTCTATCAGTCGTAAAGTTTTCCACTGATATTATTGCATATAAATAGGATTCTGAAATATTAATCATTTCAAATAGATCAGTAGGTAATAGTTATAAATGAGCACCAAATAAAACCTCTTTAATTTACATATTTCTGAATTCAATTCGTAGCAATTCTAAATAAGTCAATCAGTGGTATCAGTATATTCGCTTATTTCACTTCAAAACTACATTCAGTATCAAAATTTACTTCAAAGCTTTACTACAAATAAAATATAGCCGAAAATTAAAAAACAGCTCACTAAATTATAACATAACCTTGTTATATTTTTAAGCTAATATTATAAACTTTCATATTTAAAGCCCACTTATCTACCATTACTTATAGCACCTCTAATACCAATCCACCATCATAAAACCTAACAGTAGATGATAAAATTGACAATTGTTAACAGTTCTTAGATCAGTTAATGAACTGCAAGTATTTAAATACACATTTACTAACTCTAAAATTGGATATGAATAAATCAGAAATCAATTTTATTAAAAAGTATGCAAAATAATTTCTACACTTTTAGACTATAAAAGAATTTAGAATAGAGCATTAAAAAATTAATTAATATTACTTTTTAATTACTTTAAAAGCAAAGCATCAATTGTAAAAAATGAAATGGCGTTCTTTAAGACTAAAATATAGCATTTGCTGTAAAAAATGAACAATATAGCAGTTGTTATACATTCAATTTGCATTCAGAAAATAATCCTGACAAATACTTAATCTTATTTTCCTTTCATTTTGCAGTTTTGAAAATAAAATTAAAACAAATTCACTCATAGCACTTGCAAATCCATAAACATCACTATGACTATTTACTTAAATTCTATTTATCTATTTTTTAAAATACTATAGTAGCATTACTAAACATCTGTAATGTTTTAATATCAATTCATTTAATAACTATTATTTAAATAAACAGTATTACGATTTTTTTCACAATTTTTTGTACGACTAAATTTGCATGTGAAACTTTATGAAAATCTTAATTTTCCCTCCTTCAAAATCACTTTTGGATTCAAAATCATATTTGAAAAATAAAGTAGTCTGTACTAAATAACAAAATGCAAAAATTTTAGTGGTAAAAAAAAGGAGCAAAACAATTTATAAAGTCTGAAGTAGCAAGTAGGAATTATTCTGAAAGTTACTGCAATAGCACTTACTATTTATGACTGAAAACAAAGCTTACTTCCACTTCTTCTAATATCTTTGAAATTAAACAACTAAGTGATTAAAAATCTCATATTCCAAAAAATAAATAAGCATTGATAACTATAACAGTACAAGCAAATTAATTGTAATGACACTGATAATTGACAGTAAGCCAATTAAAAAAAATAATTTACCTGACATTGTTTGCTGCTATATGATTTTTGCAAGCAGATTTTCGTAGGTAGATAACATTGATGCGTTCTGAGACCGATTTTGAAGCAGTCGGACTTAAATTAAAACACATAATTAAAAAATAAATATACAATAGAAAATACAGTAATATATTGTATTAATAGCAGTACTAAAAAAGAGCATCACAGCCAAATAATAATTAAAAAATAAAATGCTTGTGAAAATGCCGCACGCAAAATCAGACGCAAAAAATAAATCTCATTAATATATTCAGTATCTGAAAAAACAATGATCGAATTTTACATTTCAAGCTTTTTTGATGATATTTAGCATTAAAATATCAAAAATCTTATACGAAATTTTAATTTGGAATCTAAAAATCGTAAATATTATTACAGTATTTTATTTAGATTTTAATTCAAATATTTTAAAACAAATCACAAATTGCAAATGGATAGAAAACAATGTAGAATACTTCAAACATCTAAACACCAAAAAATAAAGATGATAATAATCACTTAACATGGACTAATTAAGATCAGTATTATTTAGTGTCATCCAAATACACTCCATACAAAGTAATTTACAATAGCAACTCTGAAATCTTATCTGTATACTTCTTCTATCCGATTT